GCAGGTTTGCTAAAATTTGACACGTTGACAAATTTCGATAAAACAGAGAGAAGACGGATGTTATCTTAAAAAAATGTTATATATTTAGGGTATACACTTCTAATGATCTGGTCACACATATAGTTGTCAACGCATTCCACAAAAAATTAATAAAGATCAATTGACTAAAAGTTCTGGTAAACAAAGTGATAATCGATTTATGGAAAAAATAATGTAAAGTCGTATTATCTTGAGCCATATAATAATTTTAAGATTGCCAAGCCAAACTCAAAGTTATAGCAAATGTTTTCTGTGCACTTAAGGAATGTTTGAATTTGAGAATAGCCAAAGCTTCTATAAACCTAAGGATTTATCACTGATAATTTCTATAGAACGTTTTAAAAACTGTGTTGATTACAATCCTATGCCCCATTTTAATTATATGTTTTGCTGTTGATGAACATTTTTTTCTACTTCCAACATTTACCAGAACATTTGATACTAATTGGTTTTGAAGCCATATCGGCACACATTTCATAACCTCTGATTCCATTGTCTGATTCTTCCTCCTTATGCATTTGTGTCCACATCAACATTCAATTGGTAAATGCATTGTGTGTGACGTAATCGTTTAGGCACTAAGTCTATTTGGAATCATGAGCTTTGTAATTCTAAACAGTGTATTATTTTTTCTCAATGGGTATTTTTAGTCTGTCTTAAAATCATACGGCTTGATTCACCACTATATGTTAGAGAGATATAAACAGTTTTCTCCGGAGCAGAATTAAATGTTTCGGTGTAGACTAAATTTTGCATCTATTAACGAACACTAATGGATAACTGTTTGATATCAATATGTTAGATAGCAGTTTCGCATCTTCTTCAAACGTATCTATAGTGCATATTCTTTGAGTCTTGTCTAAAAGGCACTTTACCAAGCCTCGTGTGTGTCTCAGTGGACATAAACTGAAAATTTGGATATTTCTCAATTCAGGTTGGCCTCCTACAAACTGATCAAAACTATTTAATTTTGTATTGGTTGCTTGAATCTGCCGATTGATATCTGAGACTGCAATTGATCAGTCTCTTAATGGCGTACGTTCATCCCGTGCGCGTTGCCTCGACATCGCCTTCATTCACAAGCGACCTGGATTCTACTGGTAGCTACCATCATCTCAGCTTATAATGATCAAAACTATGTCTTAATAACTGGTAATCGGCCATTACTTTCTTCATAGGTCAGTACGATATCATTCTATTGAGTTTACTTAATAATTAAATAGCAACGAAGGCTTTATCACATGTGACTAATATATCACCCATGTGTATCCTATATAAAGTTAATTTGTAGTTGAACTCACTCGTCATATTTTCAATGTATGACGTATATACATTAGCTGAGATAGGTCCTAAAGTTATAGCCATAGCAACACCATCAAACTGTAGAAAATGTTCACCTTCAAACGTGAATTGAACTTTTTCATTATACAACAAAAGTAGCTCTATCATTAGTGTTGACTCCATGGGGACAAGAGGGAAATTGTTCGATATATGTATAGTGACTCACGTGCAATCGAGTTTAGTTCAGTCAAAGTCTTTTGTTGACCTATTTAATGGACAAAGTCATCCATGATATAACAACTTGTTGTACTATCTTTATTATTATGCTTGTATGAAATACATATGCTTGAACATTGTTTAACGCCTACGCATGTATTCATTCTGCTAGCTTCATTATTAACTGCTTAATCTATTCGCTGACTCATCCATTTTCCTATACATATATATATGTGTACATTTGCACCCATTCACTACTACTACTACAACTACTTGCTACTGCTACAATCGTAGTTCGCTTGCTCATTCATTTTGCCTCTCTGCTGTCTGGTCCGAATTATCTACTAAATAAACTGTAGTAGATGCTTCTTTTTGCCTTCTGATTTCAAACATCGTTGAAGATTATACGACAACGGTTCGAGGGTGATTAATTATCGAAGCACAGCCACTACAGAATTGGTAATCCCGACGTGAGAACGGAAGCAAATTTCGGTGAAATAATCAAATCCCAAAAATCCGATTCTTTTCATCTGAATTTGGATTATCAAATGAACTATAATTACAACTGTGGATTTATATTATTATTTTAATTACACTTACATTATTTCGCAAACATTATTAAACGTGACGATTATAATCATAATAAATAACAATTATCCATAAACGATTGATATATTGGTGCAATTCAGTAAGTCTGTTCCATTTTATAAATTGTGCCATTTTTTTATTATCATTGTTTTTGCCCGTCTATTCTTCCTTGTGACTGTTAAGTTATTTTCGTGTGCTACCTAATTTTTATAAGCATGTCTTATGAAAACACAGTTTCAAGCGTACAGCAAGCCTCGTCCGTGAGGTCTCTTAACCTCCCTGCCACTTCTTTTAAAATAACAGACCCAAAACGTTGGTGTATAAGACTTGAAAATTATTTTCTCGCTAGCCGCATTCTTTTGCAAAAGGATAAGTTCGGCCTGACAAGCACACTACTCCCAGACGAAGTAGCTGACAGCGTTCGAGAGGCACTAGCAAAACCAGACACAGAGAAACCATACGACGTGCTAAAAGAGGCAGTAATTAAAACTCTCTCTCTCCCAGTGACCAACAAGCCGTCGAACAACTCCTTAGCCAAGTACAAATTGGAGATAGAACCCCATCACAGCTAAAAAATTATATGAAAAGTCTACTTGGCGATAGACACATTGACAATAATCTCTTTTATCAACTGTGGCTCCGCCGACTCCCGGCAAAAATACAGCAGATCCTAGCTGTGGGAGATACGGATGCTGATTTAGAAAATATAGCAAAGATAGCCGATAGAATATACGAAAGAAGCAAGCAAGCAAGCCCTCCACTACACAACGTGACGATAGACGATAGACTTGATACTCTACAGAAGGAAATAAATGTTTTATGCCGCAAACTCACAGAATTAACGCAGAGAGAAAAGCCACGAAGGTCATCGCGAGATCGCTCGCGTGAAAGGACCCGGTCAACTTCTAGACGACGCACAACTCCCGCGATATGTTGGTATCATCAAATGTTCGGCTACAGGGCTAGAAAGTGCCTACAACCTTGTGGATTTAACAGGGCTAGTAACCGATACCCACGAGTATCAATGGCAACGGCATCAACACACATAATGCCTGAAAATAGTCGCCTCTTTTATATACAAGACCGAACCACTGGCGCACAATTCTTAGTTGACACTGGAGCGGAAATTAGCGTAGTACCTCCATTTAACGAGGAAAGAAAAAACATTAATCCGTCATTAGTGCTAAGAGCAGCAAACAAATCAGATATTAAGACATATGGTAAACGGAAATTGTCCCTAGATTTTGGACGTGGCGCTTCATACCGTTGGAACTTTGTCATAGCAGACGTATCGATGCCCATAATAGGCATAGATTTCTTATGTAACTTTGACCTGCTAGTAGACTCGAGACGACACAGACTTATAAACGGCAGTCAAACCACTTCGATAAGAGGAATACTTACGTAAGCCGTTTCAATGAACCTTGTGATAGATAAAAGTCGTGGTGATCCATATAAATTGTTGTTAAGGGAGTTCCCTGAACTCGTAAACGTAACATACAATAAAGCGGATCTCAAACATTCTATTCAGCATCACATCGTAACGAATGGTCCACCAATCAATGCAAGACCAAGAAGGTTAGATCCCAAAAGACTAGCCATCGCAAAACAGGAATTCGACAAGCTAATGAGGCTAGGCATTATAAGGCCATCCAGCAGCCCGTGGGCATCCCCACTACATATGGCCCCGAAAAAGAATGGAGAGGTTAGGCCATGTGGAGATTACAGAGCACTGAACAAACAAACAGTAACTGACAGATACCCTATATCGCACATCCATGATTTCACCTACAGTATAGAGGGCACTACTATCTTCTCAAAGATCGACTTAGTCAGAGCATACTACCATATCCCTGTTGCCCCACAAGACATACCGAAGACAGCAGTAACAACCCCATTTGGGCTATATGAATTCCTGCGTATGCCTTTTGGACTGACTAACGCCGCACAAACCTTTCAACGGTTTATCGACCAGGTCATTAGAGGTTTACCTGGGGTATACGCGTATATCGACGATTTGTTAGTAGCTAGCACCACTAAAGATGAGCATATACAACAACTACGTCAATTATTTATGCGACTCAGAGAACATGGCATTCCTATAAATATTGAGAAGTGTGAATTCGGAAAGGAATCTTTACAGTTCCTAGGTCACAATATAACTTCTCAAGGCATCACACCAATAGCAACAGAAGTCGACGCCATTAGGAATTATCCCCTACCCGACTCATGGAAAAAGTTACGCCGATTTCTCGGGTTAATAAATTATTACAGACGATTTATCCCGAATTGCGCGTCAATATTGCAACCACTAACAGATGCATTACGCGGAAACGCACGGACATTCCAATTATCACCAGACGCAATTCAAGCATTCGAGAACGCTAAAAAAGCACTAAATAAAGAAGTGACACTAACTAGACGAAAGAGCGAAACACCGTTAGCTATCATGACGGATGCATCAGACGTAGCGGTAGGAGCCGTTTTACAACAATTAGTAAATGGCATATGGGAACCGCTCTCATTTTTTTCGAAAAGACTGAATCCGACACAAACAAGATATAGTACTTTCGGAAGAGAACTCCTAGCGATTTACTTGGCAATAAAACATTTCCGACATATGATTGAGGGTACCATTTTCACAGTATATACAGACCATAAACCCCTCACAAAAGCATTGAACGCCAAACAGGACAACTACTCGCCGAAGGAAATCCGACAATTAGAATTTATTTCCCAATTCACGTCCAACATACAGTATATCAAAGGTAATAGTAACGAAGTGGCAGACGCGTTATCCAGAACGATGGTCAACGCTCTCATCCAGTCTGAAATCGATTATCACAAGTTAGCAGCATTACAAAATATCGACGTCGAGTTAAACAGACTAAAGTCTGCCAATACAACCTCGTTAGTTCTCAAACAAACTCCATTGGAAGAAGTAAGCATCATCTGCGATATTTCTACAGGTCAACCAAGACCATTTATTCCAAAGCCGCTAAGGCGAAACATTTTCGAAGCCATGCACAATATTTCGCATCCCGGAATAAAGGCCACCATCAAACTAATCAGCGAACGTTTCGTATGGCCAAGTATGAATCGGGATATTCGTAATTGGACGCAAGCGTGTATAAAATGCCAGAGAGTTAAGATACATCGCCACACCAGTTCCGCAGTAGGTCATTTCCGTCATCCCGATAACAGATTCGAGCACGTACATATCGATATTATAGGACCACTGCCGGTTTCGAATGGTTTCAGTTACATTTTCACTTGCATTGATAGATTCACACGATGGCCTGTAGCTGTGCCCATAAAAGATATTACAGCCGAAACTATCGCAAAAACCCTAGTAGAGCATTGGATTTCCCATTATGGTGCACCTACTAATATCACAACCGATAGAGGAGCTCAATTCGAGAGCCGCCTCTTCCAACAACTCACAGAACTACTCGGAATCAAACGAATTCGCACAACATCCTACCATCCGATGTCGAATGGTATGGTAGAGAGATTGCATCGGCAACTTAAAGCTTCTCTTACAGCTGTCATCAGCAATAACGATTGGGCCAGCAAGCTACCGTTAGTCATGTTGAGCTTAAGATCAACAATCAAACAAGATATAGAATGCTGCCCAGCAGAGTTGGTTTATGGAACCACACTACGTCTGCCAGGAGAGTTTTTCACTGCAGGTAAAAGCGTCCCAACTGATATAGCGGACTATGTACAGCGTCTTAAGCAGCATATGAGTAGTCTAAGGATAACGCTTCCGAGACAACATCAACGCCGTGTGTACATACCCAAACAACTAAATGACAGTACCCATGTGTTTATCAGAAGGGATAATGTGCAACGTCCCTTACAACCGGCCTACGATGGTCCATTTAAGGTGATTAAAAGAGACGACAAAACTATTACGGTAGACAAAGCTGGAAAAACGGATGTAATTAGCATCGACCGAGTCAAACCAGCTTTCATCGAAGCCTGCGATCAGCCAGTACATACAGATACTGCGAAAACCGTTGAATCATCGAAACGTCAGTTCCAATCATCAACGACATCGACGAACACAAACAAAGAGAATCCAGTAACCACAAAGTCTGGTCGAAGAGTAAGATGGCCCCAACGTTATGTCGCTGCAATCTTCTATTAATAATCTTCTACTATTTTAAATATTAATTATAACTTCCACTTCATTGTATACATATGCATTATTAATTTCATGTTTTACGCTATAAAACTCAACATATCTTATGTACCCCTACACTTACACGTATAATTTTTATTTAAAATGTAAAGCAATACCGCATTCCTTCCATTTATTGCTATTATTTTTTATAACCTCACGGACGGGCGCAAACCAAATGTACAGCACACACTAACTTCATCTTAATTTTGTACAAATCATTTTTTTCAAACGATTGTAACTACCCTGCTCAGTTTACTATTTTTTGTGCAAACACAGACATTTTTCCATATATCTTTGTTTGCAGGGGGGAGCTATTATAGCGACTCACGTGCAATCGAGTTTAGTTCAGTCAAAGTCTTTTGTTGACCTATTTAATGGACAAAGTCATCCATGATATAACAACTTGTTGTACTATCTTTATTATTATGCTTGTATGAAATACATATGCTTGAACATTGTTTAACGCCTACGCATGTATTCATTCTGCTAGCTTCATTATTAACTGCTTAATCTATTCGCTGACTCATCCATTTTCCTATACATATATATATGTGTACATTTGCACCCATTCACTACTACTACTACAACTACTTGCTACTGCTACAATCGTAGTTCGCTTGCTCATTCATTTTGCCTCTCTGCTGTCTGGTCCGAATTATCTACTAAATAAACTGTAGTAGATGCTTCTTTTTGCCTTCTGATTTCAAACATCGTTGAAGATTATACGACAACGGTTCGAGGGTGATTAATTATCGAAGCACAGCCACTACATATGATCACGAAGGTAATCAACAGTTTTACTTAAAGATAGATTCGCAAAAGGGAGTTTACATCAAAAAAGTGCATAGTCTTTTCCTTAATATTAATGTTATCAAGAAAATCAATCAGTTAAAATGTATTTTTTAACTAAAACTTACATATTTTGGTGCAGATAGGATTTAACAATTTAATAAATTGTTTGGCTAGCTCATGTGTAGGTGAACCTCACATCGATAATATTGCTCGTAATGGATTATTAGGCTTAGGATTTTTAAGTATTCTACATAAATTCGGGGTTCAGCACCAGTAAAACTTAGCATATGATTATCCTCTTTGTTCATACTTTCCATAGTAAAGAGCTTCAGTAGACTGCGATTTACCCCAGATTCAAATTTTTTAACATTATTAGATGAACGTCTACCAAAAACGTTTGTCAGTAAGAATAGGTATTTTACCTTATAGTCATATTTGTTCATAACAACTACCCCATGACCATTGTCATGTGTGAGGATCACATTATCTGGTCTACATTGGAACTTTTAAAGAAATTAAAATGCTTAGACACCAAGATATTCATGTATCTTATTTCAGAACTGTGAAAATGGCCAATTTCGTCTTCAAACAATTTGACTTGCCCATCTTGATTGGAACAAATGTATTCAATTGACTATAGAGATTTTTGATCGATGGGCATGGACAACAGACTAATTAAGCTTCTTTCTCCATAAATCCAATATTAAATAATTGAGAAATATTCAACAATACACATGATGCACGAATATGAGGTTTAATTAGTTTATTTATCACTTCATCACAGTTTTGGTATGTGAGATTTCATTAGACAAGGATGATTAGAAACATTTAAATGTAGTTTATCGGATCGCAAGGATTCATGAAATCGTCTGGAAAATCTATGTTATTAGTATAGTGGTTGTGGAGATTGGTAAGTTTTTGGTTGAGGTCATGAATCGATTGATGTTAGACCACCATTGAAAACTTGGAAACACTGGACGGCCATTTCGTTCTAATGTGGGACTCCTCACTTCTCACGAAGCTAGTCACTAGTGAGCACATGGTAATTATCAGTATAGTGGTTGTGGACATTAACACCTTTGGATGTCGGCTCAGTGGTTCAGTAGGTTAAGCGTTCGAGTGCGAAACTGAAGGCCTTGGGCTAGAACCCCGCTAGTGGGATCGTGGGTGCGCACTGCTGAGGATTCCCACAATAGGACAAAACGGCCGTCCAGTGCTTTCGCGTTTTCAATGGTGGTCTAACATCAATCGGTTCATGAACGCAATCAAAAATCTATGTTAAGTGATGTAAGATTTCTTTAACTCCATATTTCCCTTTGCTTTAACGATGTACTTTGGACTAGCAAATACATCTGACTCTTTAAATAAAAGACGGCGAAAATCTTTTTTTAGAAGCTTAAAATAATTAGTCCCTTTAATAAATCTTGACAGAATAAATGGAGATGGAGTTTATCTGTCAAATGTTAGGTATTTATGGTATAACTTTCTAAAGATCTGGTCCTACATAAAATTATCAATACATTTTATATGATTGATATGTCAAATCGATAATTTGGAGTCTATAATTGTTCGTCGTTGACTAAAACTGAATTACTTTATGTCAAATAAATTATTTCTAGTATAGTATTATGTTTGATCGAACACAACCAAAATTCTACTGCCAGTATATTTTGTAGATCTGTTCCCAGTTACAAATCCTAAAAACAGCAAGGAAGTGGTATTTCTTGGAATAATTTGCGTCATTTATCAAACACATTTTTCACCAGATTTCTATCATTATTTTCTTTCCCCAAACTTCTTAAATAAATTTTTGTTTTCTTATATCTTCGTATATAAGTGTGATTTTAGGATATTCAAAACTGCGAAATCCTGAATCAGAATATCATATATTAGCGAACAATATTATTTTTAATTAGATCCTCATCAGGATTTATTTTAAAACACGGTAATATTCATATGCATATATGAAATTTGCAAACTAATCAAGGCCGTTTATGAGTCAGCGATCTCAGTGGACTTATTTCTATTTACCACATTACCGCTATCGATCAAGTGTGATAGAGCAGAGTTGCATATTGTTTTGACGGTACCCTTTTTTAACCACGAAAGGAGGTGTTCACTAACTTGTTGGTTCAGTTGTCTTTCAGTGCTCTCAATATAGCTTTCATCACAGGAGCAGCTGAATTCGTAGACAGACGTGGATGTAGCAGAACCAGGTAACTTATCCTTTAGTTGGCGAATCACTATAGGCTGTTCAGAAATGTGATTAAGAAACGTAATCTTATTGAATGCTTTCCATGACAATATATGTCAGATATCTTTTTCCTGGAAGCATCGAAGGCCTTTTCATCCTAGGATTGCTCATCCATAATACCACACGCAGGATTCAAACCCAGGTCTAACATTGATCCATTCATGATGTTAATCAAAACATAACCCGATACTGATATTTATTTTTTCGTCAAAAGTTTCAATATATTGCTCTTCTTTCTTAGAACTGATCTTAAATATATTGATTAAACCTAAATATTCATGACCAAAATATCCATTTCGATAATTAAGGTTACTACAATTACTGAAAACTTTAGTTCATAGTTGTATATTTATCGCTTGGATAAACCTAGAGTGCTCGAAATACTTATTTACTCAATCATTTTGTAACAAATTACGTAATACTGATTTTGAAAGTAGCTGTTGAATGAATAAGGGACAAAGTTTTGCTTTAAAAATGATTTCAGGGCAAAGTGTTAGCAATAAAAATTTAAAAATAGAAGTTATTTGGTAGCGTCACAAGGCAAGCTCTTACTAGGAATCCTCAAGGCCGGATGAAAAGAGGAAGACCAAAGAACACATTATGCCAAGAAATGAAGACAGATATGAGAAGAACGAACAACAATTGGATGAAACTAGAAAGGAAGGCCCATGACAGAATGTGTTGGAGAATGCTGGTTGACGGCCTATGCTCCACTGGGAGTAACAGACATAAGTAAGGAAGGAAGGAAATCGGAAGCCTTGCATTTAACCTTTGGAGTTTGAAGGGCAGTATCCAGAAGATAAAAGAACAAGAGATAAAGTGACCCCACAACTCAGTAAGTGCAAAACTTAATCCTAAGTGTATGACTATTAATTGATCTACTAGCCTCACAAGTTAAGTAGATTAACTTTTGTGACTCACTAATGTTTTAGTTATTACTTGATGCCAGTTACCTTTGAAAGAATTTCAAATGAACACTCTGTCTCTCTCTGCTCAGATGGTATACGACGACGAAATAAGGTAAATAGAAATCAAAACACTTGATATTGTTTTGCTTGTATCCTCCAATTGAGGTTTAAAACTGCAATTGATCAGTCCCGGAGTGAACATCAACTCTGAGATGCAGATACATCCGGCTGATGAGTCCCAAATAGGACGAAACGTGCGTCCTGGATTCCATTGCTAGCTACTATCCATCTTTGCTTAGAAATCAAAACATATTGTTACGCAAAATCATTTATTTACTGAATAGAAGAAGAGTACATAAAAGTGAAAACTATTCCAATTGATAGTAATATTTCAAAATAGCTGTAAATTTCAAAGAAGGAACTTTGAAATGACAAATGGTGTAATAATGAAGACGATTGGACTTCCTAAAAGTCAACAAATAACAAAAGATTAATAATTATTCCAATCAAATAATTAATGATATTTTATAACTCCAACTTTTTCTATTGTTTCATAATCTTAATTATTCATTCAGTTCAATTATGTAGTACAAAACATTTAGTGTCTTCTTTCAAAAGAATATTAATCATATCCGTCCAAGTTTTTGTCATCTTATACTGTTAAGGAAACTCTGCTGTTATGGAAACTCTGGCTGATTCCAAGTTCTGTTATTATGAAGAAGACGTTTAGTCGGTTAATATAATCCAAGATTATTTATAAATTGACATGGTTTTCGTATACCGATATGATTTATTCCTGATTGTTTCTTTGACACTTGTACACAAATCAGTCGACTATTAGTAACATAATGACATGAAATTAATGATGTAAAATTTATGGATTAAAACATACCGATGGTCAAAGTTGATGATGACGCTGTTAAACAAAATTATCAATGAAATATAAAATCAACAACATATATGATAGTGGACGAATCAAACAAATAAAAGATTATACAACCAACAATGAACACTTGATAAAATGTCAAATATCACCATACTGTTATGATGTTTAAAAGCCTATATCGTTAACTGCCCTAATCTATACGATCACTGAAAAGCGGAAATAAATAAATACAATCATTAATTTGGTTTTGAAACGTTTATGGTAGAATGTTAATAACCATATATAACAGCCATATATTCAGCCACTGAGTTGGAACTCGGTCGACTACATTTTGTAGCTGTAGTTGATTATCTCCTTATAGATAACAACAACGTCGATGAATTCACAGTCACTGAATTTTGCTGATTGATCACTGGATTACAGATAGAAGTGGATGAGTTCGGTAGGAATTAGAACTTCCCTTCCATGATAGGTTTCACCACAGACATAAGGAAAAGTTCTACAGTTCGACAGTACACACCTTCCTTGAGCGTTGAACCCATTCATTATAAGAAAAACTTAGATTTCTTGCAAATAGAGCTAGGAACATATTCTCAGACGATACCCTAAACAAGGAACTAGAGCTTATTCAGAATATGTAGATTGAAATGGATTATCCACAAGGTTTTCTGGAAAAACCCTTTCATTTATTAAACAGGGAGGAAGCGATATCAACATCTAATACGAAACTTCTCATCCAGAAATTGCACTTCATCGGAGATACAGCTGGTGACGTGCTATGAGATAGACAGAGTAAAGCAGTGAAGGGAAAGTTTGATACAGCTAACCTTTATCTAACATTCTCGACTGGATCTATGGTGACTCCTTAACTAATGAATAAGTTACCTGGTTCTGCTACATTCACGTCTATCTACGAATTCAGCTGCTTCTGTGAAGAAAGCCATGTTGAGAGCACAACCAGGCAACTGATGAATAGTAAACTAAGCTAATAAATCTTATCCACCTCAATCCTAAATACAGTTTTTGTCTGCAAGAACTCTTCCATTCGATATTCTGTGTATGAAAAACCGAGGAAACATCGTAAAATTAAGGGGTTACAAAAATTGCAACTAATTATCCAATTTCTTACATTTGGCCTTCTTATCTTTCTTTTGTGATGCTGTTCAAAACAAAAAATAAAGATCATCAGGCACAACCATTTTATTTAGCTTTTCGGATTTGTGGCAGTTGTATTATTTTCAAAGTTGTAATCACGAGTCATTATAAGCTAAACCACCATTGAAACCTGGAAGCGGACACGGATTGGACTTGACTGGTCTCGGTTATCCAGTTAGCCACCTCGTACAACGGATGAACATTTGAGCAATATCACGTATCGATCGAAGCTAGACAACAATACCGTTGGATGCTGGTTCCTTGATTTAGAGTTTTGGCGTTCGCGAAAGAGACTAAGGGTCCTGGGTTCGAGTTCCGTGTGCACTGCTGAAGAGTCCCACACAAAAACGAAATGGCCGTCCAGTGTCTCCCGGTTTTCAATGGTGGTCAAGCTTAAATTGACTTGTGAATTCAACTTTGAAAAACAACCATTCTTATCATAAATTTCACTTAGTTGACAGTAATTTGATAACGTTTAATGGTAACTTATAAATCTCTATGAAACTAATTAAAACTGAATTGGTTGGGATAATTTCTGGTAGTGTTTCACCTTTTTATTAAAATTAATAATCCTGTTGCACATAGATTCACAAATAAACTAACTTAACATCTATTTTACACTAATATTCATCTGAATGTGTTCATCTTTGGTAATAAAGAGATTATATGTAATGAATAACATACTATTTCTTCTGATAATTCAACATTCGGAGAGTTCGAATTAACGATCTTCGTAACTGATAACAATCGTTATATGAATTTGAATTCATACTATTAATAAAGGTATTTTTCAGCTGCATTTATCCCCATGTGACAACGTGTTTACAAAAACTCATACCCTTAGGAAAACTTAGTCAATTGTTTTAATTAATGACGCTTCACAATGTTTCCAGTATGCACTAGAACCATCGGTCAATTAAGCGGGATTTCAAAACAAATTTCTAACAATATAATATAACATAATGTTCCATAATGCTTTAACGTTGTTAATTGCATAATAGTTCATTTCGAACTCACATCTTTTATGCCTTTTCGGTTCATCTATGAATTATTTTAAATAAAGTACAACGTGGAAATTAATTAAGCAAAGAATTTGCAGGAATTCTGACTATATACTGTTTACAATAATGCGAATGAGATGGTGGAGAAAATTTGTAGCTATGGTGGATAATTTTTACGGAGTTTTGTTTTCTGAGCTAGATAATTTGGTGGTGGAGCTTTCATCGTTATTCCGAAAGACATCAACACAAACTTCACGTAGAGGTGAACTGTTCGAATTTCTCCACATGTGGTTCACAGCTTGTCCTGTACACCTCGATGCTGATTGGTTCTTGTTGACCACTTTCTAAATGTATACTTATGATGAGTATAAGAAATACCCCTTGAAAATTAGGATAGATTATGGAATCACTGTTTTCAATATATTAAATCAAGTGCACATATACAGACTTCAAGACATCATCTGACGAAATTTATGTACAAACACTCAGTGATTCCATTATATTGTTGGAGCAATGTTTCGATATCTGTGCTTAGAATATAGGATAAGGAATAGACTGTAAATTCTACAAATAAAACTGTAAGAATATAATTTACATTCAAGGCTGAAAATTATCTAATGGGAAACAAATTGCATTTTCTGCAATTATTTCTATCACTCAGGTAAAATGGAAATGTTGTGCTAATAGTAATTATTCTATTTTGTTACACAGCAAACAAATCAGTCATAAAATATATATATACGGATATCCTGAATGAATTTTACGTGAATTTTACATCTTTTTTTAAAATCCGATCTCTAAAGTATAATCTATTAGCACAACTAGTGATTATAAATATGTCTTTACTGATTGTTTAATTCTATGTATATGCCAAATACTGTTGAAGTGAAACTTTTACCTACAAAAAACGATCCACATCTTAAATGTAAGTATTAAATAATTGTAAACTGGTCAACATATACACAACTGGTAATTTTCAGGTTCTAGCTAGAAATTAAAATACAAGTTTTTCTTGGGGGGAGTGGTACTCCCATTAGTTAGAAATATTGGTCACCATATTGTATATTGCTTCAGCTCGGAACATATTAGATAGCTGTTGGATTACAGAATTAGAGTTCCGGTCAGAATGTCATAAAACGTTTTAAATGAAATGATTTAATTTCTTACTTTTTTGCTTCTTTTCTTTGGACGGTGTGGCTGTTTAAAAGGTTAACATTAAGAAAAATAACATTGAATTTATAACACTGATTATAAAACATAATTTTGACTCTTACTAGTTAAAACACGGAACAGAACTATAACTTAGAATAATAATAGTTATGAAATGATTTTGAATTTTGTTCAAAGAACTAGTTAGATCATGTGAATTCATTTTGTTGTTTCATTTTTCACATCCATCTACGTATGTTAAGGCAAATAATCATTTCATCAATTCCACAGGACTTAATTTTCTGTCTATAATAATAAATTTGTATTAGGTTCTGTGACTAAAGTAATAACTTGTATTTAATTAATAAACTGATAAATTACCATCCCAAATACTTTCGATCAAATGTACAGAGAGTTCAGTAAATGAACGATATTTTCTCATTGAAACCAAACATTTAGTCATTCTGTTTTATGTTTAAATAATAAACAATATTCAATCGAATTACATTTGGCTATTGCAGAAACTCTATTTACATATATCATAATCTTTATTTATCTCATAAATTACTTTCTTCTATCATAATATTACTTTCATTGAATTAATAGAATCTTCTTCTTTATGATGAATGAAAGTATCTTATGAATTGCTAGTAATATTTAACTTTTATATAAATTACTAGAAATTATTCATTTCATTTGAATTATATATAAGTATCTATAAACAATCATAAAAATTCTCACTTTCTACTTTCATTGTTTTGTTCACTGGTATCTTAATAGCGGATACTTTGATTGGAGTAGCTAAAAGAGAGGAAAGTAGTAATAAACATTATAAGAAAAATACAGTATTAAAACATCATTTATTATTATATGACAGAATCACAATACAATTATTTTTTAAATTATGTACTTCAAATGTCTATTGGAAATCTTATTAAATGATATTATCAAGTGAATTTACTTCCTTACGCCTATTACTTTTCGTGTAGGAGCATAAGCTGCCTACTAGCACTCTCCATTCAACCCTGTCTTGGTCATTGGTAATAAGTAGGGCATCATAATGAATTCTTATGAATTGTTTATCACTCAGTTCACTTATTTTAGTATCAGAAGGGATTTTGTTGAGATTTTAATCATTTCAATAGATGAGATCATGAGTTAATTGAAGCTAGACCACCATGGAAAACCTGGAAGCACTAGCTTTAAAATGTTTATCTTGGAGATCTAGTGAGAAGTAGTGACCAGTGGAGTTCAACCAGGTCTGTTGTGAGATAGTGACTCACTGATGATAATGGTGGATGTGTCACTCAATTTCGTGGATTAGTTGAAGTTAGACATAAACACCGTTTGATGCCTGCCAGTCTAGTGGTCCAGAGAGTAAGCGTTCGCGCGCCAGACTGATAGTCTCTGAGTTCGAATCTCTTGAGTCGGAATCGTGGATGCGCGCTGCTGAGGAGTCCCACAATAGAACGAAACGGCCGTTCAGTGCTTTCAAGTTTCCCATGGTGGTCTAGCTTCAACTGACTCATGATCTCAACTGTTGAAATCACTTATTTTACTTTAATTATAATTTTAAAGCAAATGGATTTTATTAAATCTCATAAATTTCTTTCCTCTGTTTATAAATAAGTTAGGATGTTATTATGTTTTACTATTAAGATGACAGTTTACCATAAAATCTACAGTTAAGAAAATGAATATAATTTATAACTTAAATTATTTTACATGTTACCTTATTCAAAACCATTTAGTTTATGTATAGAAATTAATAATATACTTTTCTTGAAATATCAGAAATTTTTTTCCAGCCGAAGAGGAAATTAGGAAAAAACGTTGGAAGTGGATAGGATATACATTGAGGAAATCATCAAATTGCATGACGAGACAAGCGCTAACTTGGAGTCCTGAAGGGAAACGGAAAAGAGATAGGCTAAAGAACACACTGCGTCGAGGATTGGAAAGAGAGAAAAATAGGTGAATAGAAACTGGAAAGAACTAGAAAAGATTGCTCAAGACAGAATTTGGAAAGAGAATACTGGTGAGCCACCTATGCTCCTCCATGAGGGGTAACAGGCTTAAGTTAGTAAATAATAAAGTGGTGTTCTGTTAGATTCGTCTAAAATCTACATGAAACAGGAACAGGCTTTGATTATCTTATATTACATTTTCTAGTTAATAGATGCTTTGTTGAATTTCTCTATATACTTGCAAATTATTGATATACATTAATTTGAGAATAAGTGTTCCAAGCGTAACCGAACAAACAACTAATTCTATCTATCAAACCGGAAATTTAGTTGTCTCTTAGTGTATGTATTGTATAAATTTAGTCTATATGCTAGTGACACTAATAAGAACAAAATGAACTAATATTCAAACATTATATACTCTAAGTTTAATGAAGTATCCTGATGAAACTATTAACTCACCAGGTTTTCCTCTCACCGGTACTCCGTCTATGAAAAAGAGGAATAAAGACTTAAACTGAGCGAATGTATCATTCTGTTATTATTACCTTTTATCTAATTATCTTAATTAGTAGTAACATGTTTTCAAACAGATTCGATAAGTTAAGAATGTTTGTTAAATATTTCAAACTGTTCTTACAACATATTATTCCCCATTAAGTTTTACAGAATAATCCAGCATATAACCTTAGCTAAAATCATATGAAACATATGGTTTTCATCATTTAGAATAAATCAACATCTTCAAATATTACCATACTTCATCTAAACACATCTGATATAAAATATAATAAGGTGAATTTATCTTAAATTTAATAAATGCCTTGTATATTTCAATCTACAACAGTAATGATACATGCCGCTAGACATTTTATTTGTTTATAAAACAATTACAACTTATAAATTCACTTCGTATTGTTTACTTGAATCTTCCCATAGGACTGAGATTGATTAGTCTCTTGGTGGCACATGTACATTTTATACGGATTGTCTCGATACTGCCTTAAATTACAAGCATTATAAGCAGAGATGGGTGGTGGTTAGCAGCGGAATCTAAAATGCACGTTTTGTCATATTTAGGATTCATCAACTGGATGTACCTGCATCTTAGAATTGATGTAACTCTGTGACTTATGCGATTATCATTAAATTAAACAGTCAAAACATTTTTCCAACATATTTAAGCTAAACGTTATGCTCACCTTCATCGACAAATTTGTTAGGCTCTAAAATATAACCAAAGTAAAAGAAATAAAGCGATTTTGTTCAAGTTTCATGTATAGCAAATAAGTGAATAATTTAGTACAGAAGCATTTAAAAGCATGAATAGTAGTATTCTGGTGTGCGCTATCTATATACACATAAGTAATATATAACGATAATCAGGAATGAAATGTATTTTAGTAGAAGATCTAGAAGGAAAGAATGGGAACGGAAAGCAATCGGGATGAAATGCACAAACAATCAAATCTGAGACGATGTACTGATATTTGCAAAGGGAACAGTCAAGTTTGAGACAATGGATTGATATTTTGCAAATTAACTATTTACTATATGGTTCTCAGATTTTGGTGAGATGTTTTGTAACTTTGGGCTCAAATACAAATTTCCTCTACTCGTGTTCTTATTCATTACAGTACTCTTTTTTGCTGTTCATCTCATTGTATATTATGTAATGCCCTAATGCACTCTGAGAAAAATGTTTTCTACCAGTATAAGGGTTGTGGAGAGTAATAAGTTTTTAATTGAGATCATAAACCGATTGATGTTAAACACTAACATCATTGAATGTGGCTTACTGAAGCCGGTAGGTTAAGCGTTCGAGCGCGAGGCCGAAGGCCCTGGGTTCGAATCCCGCGAGCGGAATCGTGACTGCGCACTCCTGAGGAGTATTACAATAGAACGAAAAAGCCGTTCTGTGCTTCCAGGTTTTCAACGGCGGTCCAACATCAATTGGTTCATGATCTCATCCAAAAATGTCTTCATTTCAGCAGATCCAATTAAAAAGAGAGAAATTAAACAAAGTACAACACTTATTCTTTTATTCACTTTCGTCTTATTTGATAGATTCAATATTAAATAAATCGAAATCGTAAGTTTTATGTGACAAAGATAAATCTTGAATAATAATACTTTAGTTATAATTGAACAATTCTGTTGATTGAAATAAGTTTTGTTATAATATGAAATTCTTTTAACATACCCGGTACACCATTTACCATATCGAAATAGGCATATATAATCACCACAATAAATATACTACACTATAAAACATGATAATTTTCATTAAGTTAGATGTTTATAATATTTGAACTTACATAAAGTGTATTCATTGTTCTCTTTGATATTTTTTTATCGGAACTGACATTTATTTGTTTAAAATACCATCGATTTAATATAAAACAAGTGTCTTTATTTTTAATTATGACATTGTATTCATGAAATCTCCTATAGATTGTTCATAAAATATGTGTCAATCTACTAATATCATATAATTGTCACACCCTTAATGATCATAAATGAATAGTGTTAAAAGCCGATAAATATGTCAATACTTAATTGATCAAATAAATGATCAGAGTTGATTTTTCTTAATAATCATAATGCTTCTCATACCTTTTGTTCTATTTTCATGTCAATACTAGTGTACTTTACTTTTATCATTGATAGTTTAATGTCAAGGATTAATAACGTCCATGCACTTGATGAAATGGAAGCATATTTATTACTAAGATCGATGTATACATTATTCTCATATCTTAAATGGATCAATTGTTCATTGTGATGAATCGCATCATCACCTAGTTAAAGTCACTCATACTCAGCCTATACAATCTATGTTTGAGTAGTAGCTGATTTTCTTGATATATAAAAATGAAATTAGTGTGTTCAACTGTTTGATGATTTATTTTTTAGAAGTCGTATTACTGCTTATCAGTCCTGATAATGTTTTTCGATCCTGTAAAGTGATGTTGATCCTTATCTGGTAGTGGAAAATTATCGTTTACAGTGAATATCTAACATATATGAACTGACTCAACAGTAAATGCAACATTCACAAAATAACACTAAATCCCATAAAACGCTAAGGATTATTCATTAGAAAACACACACAAGTTCTCACTGTTGAAAAAGAAAAGTCTGAAGATATGTTGTAACAGCATACGACCCTATATTTTTTGTTTACTGAGACTATGATTTATGGATGAACGAATGAACTTATGGATAGAAAATCTTGGATATGGGCACTAAATTCATTTATCCATATAGTTGTCATTACAGTTCAGTTCGTGATAAAAAGTTAATGCATGGGTTAGGAAAGTGATGATTGGTTGCTTGCCTAGTCAGACTAGTAGATGAAACTCTGAAAGGTATAGGATAAGTTATATATTTTCCTACATTTATTATAAATGTGATCAATATTGATTGTTGGCATGGAAAAATACTTACGTTCTGTCAGGCCAGCTACATGTTCTTGGTCTGGTTGCTGTTGACGTCATATAGAATAGACACTGAGATGGTATCTAGTGTAGACAGTCGTCTAAGGTCAATTAATGTCCTACGTGTGTAACAATGAAACCAAGCATTATTTTAAAACCTTTACATTAATTCGTAACCTTGAATTCTAACTAAATCCAATTCCTAATTCCTCATATTAGCTTATAACCCTCTTTTAACATTGGGAAGTAACCGAATCACCTCAAGTTTATTTTAGAGACGCTCAAGTGTCGTCCGCAATTTATAGCTCCACCTTCGATTTTTCAAAACTTGACCCTCGGTTGATTTCGTTGGGACAACCATTGCGAAACAGGTCAATGTCAACGATTACTACAACCTTCTAAAGCACTGAAATTACATTAAGAAGAAAGATAATATCACGACTGAAACCCATTAGCAATTAAAACATATATTTCATTGTGTTTCTGCTATGCTACCTCATTCTCATGGCTCTGAAGCATAATGTACTTCTGGACTTCCTGTGGCTTCTTCACTCGTTCAAAAACATGTAATGTGCATGCGAATTCTAACAAATATTGTCAATCTCTATACAATAACATTACTGTTTTTGACTTTACTATAGATTCTTACGGTTTTCCTGTTAAAATGTAGTGTACTATTCTAAAATAATTCAAATGCCTGTTACATTGATTTGTTAACATGAATCATTCTTTAGAATGTATGTTAGTTTTTTTATGATATCCTTCATTCATCAACTTCCTGTACAAATAAATAAAATCTGATGTGACTGCTCATAGTTCTGCGAAGCATCGTGATACCACTAATCGATAAGTATCTATTCGTAAATTGTTACCCCCCCCTTATGTGTACAAAAACAATTTGTCGTAACCTTGAATTTACCTTGGTAATCCTTAAGTCATTCTATGGCCTAGGATAACGCAACAGTTTCTTATTCTTTATCTCCTCTTTGTTATTGTGCTTGAGCTTTCATTTAATTGACTTATGTATTCATTGTGGAAGTTTGTTTCAGGTGAGCATCTTCTTCTCTAAACGTAAAATCAATTGCTTTTTAGCTATATTTCGGATAATTGCATTATATAGGACATTCTACTTCACTTTTTACTTGAATTTAAAGTATTAACAGAACAGAATTTCAAAATCCTACTATAAATGGTATTTTTAGTGTTTTCATTAGCAAGTGTGATTAATGTGCATCACTTTTAGGTATAAGTTTTATTGTAGTTTATTTCATATATATATATTGAGTACTAAGCTTATATTCAATTCAATTTTCAGTACCCACCTAAATCTTATAGACCATTATAAATTCCTCCATAAAATATTCCTTGACTATATTTTTTATAACATTTCTATCAATCTTAATGAGATTCATCGGTTCCAATTTCTAAAAAGCTAACATTTTAAAGTCATTAAGTATTATTGTTTCCGATGAAAACCAAATTAGGTTGATACTTAAAGAGGTTTCTTTCAAAAATCTAAAAATTTGCTCAATGATCTATGAATCATTTTTATATCATTAATGGTTTTTAAATAGATACTTTAAATCAAAGTTCACACTAAAAGTAAAGTTGAATGAGATACAATTTCGATTTATATTTAAGTCCAATAAACCCATGAACAATATTTACATATTCACTGACAGAAAGTGATTAGCTGGAAATGCTGGACACTTACATCTACGGAAAAATAACTTTGAACTTTAAAGAATTACTTAAAAAATTGGTCAAATGTAAAGTTGATGAACCACTACAGAGAAGTCCACAACACGAAATTGTTTCCTACTCTTATAGTTTCAGTTAATTTGGTTGTATTGATGAGTTTCTTAAGACAATAACCATATTTCTCATGTGATTTAAATAACCCACTTCTCAAAACACATTAAACAGTATAATACTGAATTTTGTTTGTAACCTTATGTAACAGAGAGCACATTTTCAAAGTATATTCTTATCAATCCTCATAGATTACTTTCACAATCAGCAAAAGACGATATATTTTTGCAGTCTTATCCGTAAATACCGAGAGATTTGAAATACAACATTAGGTTTTTTTATGTCACCGAAGCTTTAAAGAAATGTTGATGACATATAACATGTCGATTACTTTGGAGGGTTAACTGTTGTTTGATTGTTCCCTTGTTGAGTTTTGTTGTGTATCTTTACAGCCAGTCTTACCATCAGCTGTCTTTCTGAAAAATAATTTGCTAACTATTCATTTACTCGTAATTCAAATAAAATTTACTGCATACTTGATTGAAAAATGAGGATATATAATCCTGTGATAAAATTTATTCGATTCACACCATCTTGTTACATTACTATGTTAGCCCTGGAACAGCTACATAAACATTATTCATGAATATATACTGGGCTGACTTGTGTTATTTTTTTAACTAAGGAATAACCCTCATTTGGCGTCTGTTTTTCACATCTTAGTTGAAATTCTCAAACATTAACATCAATGCTTTTCATAGCCACATGTTATGGCACATTAATTTGATAGTCTGCCACGTCTCTCCTTGGTTTCACTAACCACATAATTGTTCAGACAAATGACTTGGTAGCTTTGTACGAGATTAGAGTATTCAAAGATAAATAATATTTTAAAGGTACAAGAATAGGCCACTAATCACCTAGCTCTTGAGGTATAGTGTCAACAAAATCACGATGAACTTTAACCAAATTATTCTTTGCACAGAAAACTTATCACTAGATGTTAAGTCGTTAGTCAAATGGCCTTAATGTCAAGGATGACTAACATGGATTAGCTAATCAATCATGTAACGTTGGGTTACGTGACAGACTTGTCGCCTTCAGTAAACACTACAGTTTTATTCGCTTCGTGTACAACTACACTCTTGTCTGTTAAGATTTGTTTGCTATCTAAATATACTCAAGAAACAGGATATACTGGTAACCATCTTAAGGGTAGGCCTGATAATAAAGTTTATGAACAATAAATAGGTTTGACCTAAGTTCATGCAAGTTAAGCAGTCACATCATTCTGCATAAGTCGAATGGATAGAAACGATTATTTAGATGACATAAGTAAGCACATTACATCGATTACCGTTTAACATCCACAAACGTTTGCTGTAACTGACACTGAATATTACCAACTTGAAATCCTTTATGCCTTTTATTGTTATTTTCATTAGCTTAGGTCCGTATAAGTTATTTTAACAACTAATAAACCATAAGCTGAACAACAGACGAAAAAGACCTCGATCTTAAACAGATACTAAAAGAATAACATTAAGAATAACTCTTAAGTTAATCAAAGAACAACGATTTAGTATTCAGATACGAGAACCAAACAAATCTATAAACGGGCAAAAAATAACTAAACTTAAAGCCATAATCTGTTATTTGTTTACGTTTATCAAGTGCTACTATTAGCATCAAAAACCACTTTCAAATATATTATCTGCCTTTTATTAAACACCGACCCATGATATATTTAAAACTCAGTCTATTCAGAAAGGATTCAGAAATTTATTCATTTTAATTAAAGATAAAAGTAACCGAAAAGTTGAGAATAAATCTGAGTACTACCATCGTGTATTGATAAATAACACTCAATTCTTCAATTTGTACTTTCAGACAGAAATGATAGCTCTATGTCTTTTATCTATAATAAAACTGTGAATAACGCGTTCTTTCACTAGCTCCATTAAACTATCATATTTTCCATCAATATGAACAAGACTATGTAAAGTAGTACTGATTTCTAATATTAGTCACATGTAAATCATACGTTTTAAACAATCGATATTCTTAAGTTCTGGAAAGAAAATTTATATATTTTTCTCAATATTGCAAGTAATTCACAAAAGTTGATATATTTCTTTAGAATTGATGTTATTTAACAAAGTTTATTTTTTTAGGATTTCATATCTGAAGTCTTCATTTGACCTAAAAGTAAAGA